CAGGGGCGTCTCCCTGTAAAATGGACTGCCATTGAGGCGTTGCTTTACGGAAAATATTCTACCAGGAGTGATGTGTGAGTACAAGGAAGACATAACACTGCAGTTAAACTCAATGAGAATGGTTTTGTATGAAATTTGTTCAGGTCTGCAAAAAGTTACTTGGTTACTTTTGTATTTTGGTCTTCTTATTTTGCTGGTGTGAGGTCATCTCAGTGAGGAGTAGTTATCCTCATTTTTCATGGTTAGTGACCAGGGATCAATTCCTATGACCCTGTGCATATGTCCCTCCCCACCCCATTCGCCCTACCCTTTAAAACCAAAGATGTTTCAATTAAATTTTTTTTGCAGGAAAGAAATTTTATTGCTTTAAATTTATCCCGTTTGTTTTACAAGTGGAGTTACGGAGTTCTCCTCTTTGAGATTTTCACGATTGGCAAGTTACTAGGCAGATTGCCAGTCCAGTCATTTTAGCCTCAGTAATTGGGGGGACACGAAGTCATGAAGTAAGCAGGGTGTACCAGTCTCTGTAGAATTGGCTTTTGGTCATACCAAGTCGCTGGCCTTAGCCGGAAAAAATTGTTAATGGAAATACATCTGTAGAGCTTTTCATTTTAGAAGATACAAACATTACCTGCTCTATTCAGGTGGTTCACCGTATCCAAGGATGGATGGAAGAAAAATTGCAAACTTACTTCAAGAGGGATACAGAATGCCTAAACCACAACATGTGGATGATAAGTTGTATGACAGTATCTTATTATTGTTTCTTGATGGCTTTTATCGTACAGTAGTATTTGTACCGCTTTTTGTTCGAGTTTCATGTGCGCCTCAAGATAAAACCATCTTTACTTATTGAACCAGCCTAACGAAGGGAAATGAAACACCATCACCAGTTGATTTCTTTTGTATAAATCTTTTGTCCTCTGTTATAACAAGATGGAATTATAAGACCAAAATGATTTTTGAACCGTTTCTAATAAAACTTTCTTATGACGTCCTTTTAGATATGACTTTATGACAAAATGTTGGAAAGACGACCCTAACTTGAGACCATCTTTTGAGAAGTTGAGAAACAAACTCAAAGAAATGGAAAACCAGCACAAGGTAGAATGGTAGAGTTTACAAACAGACTCTCTGTGTTCTTTTTTCCCTTTCAAAGTTTGATTGTTAGAATCTATCACCATCAACTTAACTTGATAACGGCGGCACCATGAATGCTTGCAAGCGTAGTTTATGACTTCAATTTATTTAGCTTTTCGAGCAATTTTCAATTGAGATTCGAAAGTGCAAATCGAAAGTAAAAACTAAAACTAATCCCAGCTTGATCACACGCGTTTTTCCGCGCTTCAAGGAGGATGCCAGATCCTACTTTAAGTTCTCATTGGTTAATGTTGATGTTAACCTTTGTTCTCATTGATAGTTGTGAATACTTTGGGTTTGGTTTTTCAAGGGTTAGGCTTAGGGTTAGTTGATTCTCGATGATTAATATAAGACTTCACTATCTAAAATTAATTGTAACAGCAATATGCTCTCTTTCTGGGTAAAAAAATGAAGGAACTCTCGAAAGCTTAACAGAGTATAGCATAATTTATACTCGTTTTTCATATTTTTTCGTATGCCTTTTGTTTTTTGTTTTTTTTACAGGGGCTGATAAACTTAAAAAATTACGATGATCGACTCTATGTTAATGTTGACGATCTTGCCGTGTGAGCGAGTGATTTCTCCTACAGGAAGGGATGGAGTAATGAATATTGGAGCCCTATGACATCATCTTCTATTTTCCTTGTATATTTTACATTCGGCCATATTTTTTGCTATTAAGCAACTTTTTAAAACAGGCTGTTTGACAAGAAAGCGAGTCAAAGTGCGGCTTTCTTATATTCTCACTTATTTTTATACTTTTAGTCTTGGAAAGACAAACGATTTTGTTATTACAAGTATAAAAACTGCAACCTAAATCCGCCCCCCCCCCCAGCGTTATAGATTTTTTTATAAGTTTTTTTTACACAAAACGTGTATTTTATTTTGCATCTGCTGTCCCTTTTGTTATATTTTGAAATTTAGCGGATGAATCTCTTGTCGTAAAAAGATTCCTTTATTGATTAAGGTGGGCCAGTAGGGAAACAGCAATATTTTTTTAACCAGCAATTCAACCATGTGTGGATGGTGTTTATCAAGAGAAGTAAGGTTTTTCGCCTTGTACTGATCAATTTCATCACAAAATCCTAACTTTTATGAAACTTTCTAAATGGTTGCAATGTGTTTATAATAGCCTAGCTATTCTTTAAAAATAAAGAAAACCATTTTAAAAATCAAAGAGCTCACTCAGTTTCTATCGATTTCAATCACCCCCCGACATATTTACAGAGTACTGAGATTCTGATTCCTTTGTTTCACTTGTAATTTTTGGCAATGAAAGTCATAATAAGATGTTGTCCCTTTTACACTGTGCATTATTTAAGTTTTGCATTTCAATGAAACAAAATTAAAATTATCTGTGCAAAGTTCAAGCGATTATGGCATTCGATCGAGAAGTTGACAGCTAAAGAATTTAACAACAATTACAAGCAGACCAGCAATCTCACAAAATTTAAGTCATTCGCGCTTCACAAGAGAAACAAGAAAAAGAAAGTAAACAAGAAAAACAGAAAGTAAATTATGACATCAGCCCAGGAAGTCTCACAACACTGACATATTTCCGCTTCTTGGTGCTTTCGATCTCTCAGGCTCCGCCTTAAGTATAAATGTAAACGACCACGGCTAGGCGGGGTACCTCACCTAACTGGGGTTCCTCACCTACCTGAGGTCCCCCACCTACATGCAAACAGGCCCTTATGAATAAATATAAATCAGGGCGTGAAATTGCGCCTGATACAGGCGCTAATGAGACTAAATTTTTCACTTTGGCGACCAAATCCTGAAAATTGGTCACCAAATTGGCGATTAGAATGTTTCATTGTAATCTTACCTAGAGATAGAGTGAATTAAAAGATTGCAAAGATAAATTCGCGGCAAATTTCCTCGTTAAGTTTGTTTCCAAAACGCTGCACATGCCTCTCGATCAATAACTAGACGCTATCTTGAATTTGGGTAAGCTTAAACGTTGTATATCATCCATCCTAGTTTCCACTTTGAAGCACGTTAAAGATCTTTTCCCTAACTTAATTTTGGAGGATCTATCTAGAACGCTGACAACGGTCTTGTTTGTCTTTGAAAATGGGACCAACTTTTTTTGAATTGGCTACCATTTTGAAGAATTCAGGAGCTAAGTGGCTATCAGAAAAAAAAATTAATTTCACGCCCTGTAAATAATTTTTGCGAAATTATTTTTGGCCGGAGGCCGTTAAGAGAAGAAAGAGTGACCTTGTAGCCCTTTCTCGTTAAAGACCTCCGGTTCAGTTCTCGGTTTGTACTGTGTTTAGATGATTCTTATATCGACAGCAGCAGATTGCTGTGCCTTTTAGATTATTTAAAACTAGGCCCTGTGAGCAGGGTAACTGGGATACCTGGATGGTACTGGATCCTTGGAATCAAGTGTGGTGATACTACGGGTGTCGGACTAGTATACTGAAATAGTGAGCTCAAGTCTGGCCAAGGGCATACACCTACTTCAAAACATAGGCACGCTATGCATGCAAGAGTTATTTTTTGTAGGGTGGGTGGATAACTTGAAACATTGTAAGTGGTCTACATTCTTACAAAAGGAAAGAAGAGTATTAACGCGGAAAAGAACGAAAATGTCGAATTACCTCACACACAGGTATTTTGTGGTAGATTATGTGTGTTGTGCGAATAAATGTAACCAAAAATAAACTGTATTGATGCCACGGATACCTGTTAGTACAAAATTCAGACAGCAGACTGCAGACCGGATACAATATATAGACTGCAGACTTCAGAGTGGATCCAAAATGCAGACTGAGAATCTGAAGAGTTTCTACGTCTGGTATATAATAATATGTCACCTTACAGCTTACCGAGCGTCACGCAATCGCTTTTCCGCGATCAGCGTTCACGATTATTTGCACTATTGTGGAAAATCCCTGGCCTATTCCTTGATGAAAATCGATCGTGATATAATTTCAAGCCTTCAATATAGTCTTCGTACTATGCGCGCGAGTTGTTTGGTGTGATGTCTGTACAGATTTTACCAACGTAATAAAAGTAGATGACATGAATAACAGTGATGGTAAATCAAGCTTAAAACGGCAGAAATCACCAGAAACTACGACGGATACAAAGGGTATGGGTAAGTTTTATTGATTTTACGAGAAAAATGTCCATATTTCGAAATATTTATCGTTGTAAATCGATATTTCGTTCCCTATACTATTCCTTATAACGTGTTCAAATTTTCAACGGTTCCTCTCGTCACACAGCGCGTGACGCGTTCATGAATTAATCGTTGGTTTTTTCTCGAGGCGTGAGCTTGGGCCTCCTGTGACAAGACAATTGCGTAAACAATACTTAGCATATTAACATTATACACAAAAAACACAGGATTCTGGATCATGTATTTATTAAAAAAGAATATCCATACAACTAAAATGAAAACAAACATAAGACTCACCTTTCTGATCGTGAAATTAATACCATTCGAACTGTTATCGTAGCTCCCTGGCATCAAGTGAATCCAACATGGCGTCTTTCTTCACCGGCAGTTTGCATCCATTAGAGTTTTGTTCTTCAGCCTCACGGTAGTAGTGTTGTTCAGTCGATTGCATAGAGTATATGCAGTTTGGTTTCAGATTTCAGATTTTGCTTTTTACAACAAGTGTTCGTTTTTCAACTAAGACATTGGCATACTTGGCATACTTGGCATACAAGGGATACAAGGCATACAAGGCTTTCATGGCTTTCAAACGTTCGCGACTCAATCCGTTCCAAAATTACCGCTCAATAATATCTTTTAGTGTGGATTGGCCGCGAACAATAGGACTTGTGTATGCGTCTGTAAGTATTTTGAGCGTTTGCGCCACAGTGCTCCAGGTGACCGTAATCCAAACACGTTCAAATACAAAACGGCCGACAAAAGAGTTTTATAAGCAAAAATCTCGTGGTTCGTAATATGACCCGGCCCTGTCCGTGCATGACAACGTCAATCATTATCAAGATAACACGCGTGATCAGCATGTAAACACCTCATTGGATCACAGTTAGTTGTCATGGTGTTGAGGGCCCAATGACCTCTGGGTACTATTTTACCTTTTTGTGGCGGAGGAAAAAAAAAAGACGACAAAAAAACAAAGGCATTTTATGACTGGGCTACCACAGGTATCCCAGAAATTAGAGGGCCGGAGAGCTGTTCTTCTTTTGATGAAATCGAAAAAGTAAATTGTTTCAATATAACTGCGATCTAAAATATTCTCCCTCAGGTGGCATGAAATTATAGGGGCTTGGTCACAACTAGCGCATGCGCATTCAGAACAGAAAAATAATGGCACTAACAGGTTGTTGGCCTTAATGCCGTCGAGTTTCATCCATTCAATCCTCCGACGTGTTGTCACTGCTAAAAAGGCTAAGATATGACTTACATCAAGGATTCAATTGAGTATTGTTTGTATATTTTACCAATACCTTAATTGTACAATGTTTATGCTTCCTTGTCTATGTTAAGTTATGGAAGCACAAAAAGACGACGGAGAATTTAAGATGCCCGATTTATGCGGAACAAAAGGAGTCAGTAGAACATATTTCAAGAGCAAACTATGCCGAGAAGGAGGCCTTTTCTTTGCAAATTTCCACTAACTCCAGGATATGTTGGCAAGTAGTCAGAATCTTATGTAAGAACTGCTGATTACATTATAGTCAGGAAGCACTGTCACGAAGGGCGCTCATTTTTCACTTTCGCTAAACATTTTGAGTAGAAGCAGGCAACGTAGCTTAAAATCTTCGTCTTGCCACCCTGAGAAAGAATCGTGCTGTTGCCCACTCCAAATGTTATGATATCTGTCATTAAGCGGGTTTTTTGTCTAGGCCCTCGCTCCTGCAGCATGAAAACGAGGCTGAACTATAACATTTATATAAACCCAATAAATAGGATGGGGAAATAGCTGAATCTTTGCTACTTGACGTTTAGAGCTTGATAGACAGTAGTGTGGGTGATAAAATGCGTCACGTGATCAGTTATGAAGAGTCACGTGACTTTTCAATTAAATCGGTTTTAAAGCATAAAAGACGCTCTATTCACACTTTCCTTTAATATAGTTTTCAACTTACTGACGTTTCTCATTTCGATTTACACATCCAACGATAAAAACACAAAAATGCAACGGGTGATCAGATATGATGGGTCACGTGACTAGATAACAACCATTGGATAGATACTGAATTAGCCTTAGCTGTGTGAATAGCGTGATCAATTAATTGTTTCAGTAAGCTCTTCAGGAATTATTTTCTATAAGAAATAAAAAAGAACTATGTTTCATGTGGTAAATATGTGCTTCAAAAAGTTTTATTTTGAGCAATGTATTTTGAAAATTCATACAAAAAAGATTCTTTTAATTATTTTTCTCGATTTAGAAAAGGTTGAGTTCATACATTCGCCTTTTACAGTTCACAGAATCCCGCTCTCCGAGGAGAAGAGGAAGTCGCTTCTGGCATTTCATGCAATTACTGGCTGTGATACGACAAGCCAGTTCTATGGTGTGGGCAAGGCATCGGCATGGAAAGTCTTCGAAGATGCACCTGATCTCTTGGAACACCTTGGAGAAGAAAGCCAAATCAGTGCTGACGTTCTTGCCAAAGCTGAAGCCTTTGTATGCAAACTCTACAATCCGGGAACACAAGAGGTGGAAATCAATAAAGAAAGAGCAGCAGCGTTTCGCAAATCCAAGAAAGATCTTGACGCCCTACCTCCGACTCAAGATGCACTGATTCTCCACATAAAGCGGGCAAACTATCAGACCATGGTGTGGAATAAAGCACTGGAACCATTTCCTTCTCTCCCAAAACCTGAAGACAGCGGATGGTACTACAGTGAAGGCCTTCTGAAGCCAAAGTTAATGACGCGAGAAGAAGTGTCAGCGGCGTGTTTACAGTTAGCATACTGTGGGTGCTCCCGAGGCGGAAGGCGGATGCTGTGTAAACCGACGCTGCACTTGCGTTCAACTATCTCTTTGCTGTTTCAAGGCATGTAAATGTGGTGACAGGTGCAGAAACGACAGGAACACTGCCGAAGAGGCGAATGAAGCATGACCTATAACTTTGATAAGGTGGAAGTCACATGGTGGTCTTGTGTAGTATAAGATACTTTGCTTATGGTTTATAAGCTTGTATTTCTGGCTTAAACCGTGCGGCCAAGTAGAAGAAAGTTCAGTCTTTTTACATGAAAAATGCTAACTCATAGGAAATGTTACATAGCTTGGAAACGCTATAGAATGACTGAAAATAGAATGATTTCATTACATCACGTGACCCATCATAGCTGATCACCCGTTGCATTTTTGTGTTTTTATTGTTGGATGCGTAAATCGAAGTGAGAAACGTCAGTAAGTTGAAAACTATATTAAAGGAAAGTGTGAATAGAGCGTCTTTTATGCTTTAAAACCGATTTATTTGAAAAGTCACGTGACTCTTCATAACTAGTCACGTGACGCATTTTATCTCCCACACTACTGTCTATCGAGCTCTAAATGTCAAGTAGCAAAGATTCAGCTATTTCCCCCATCGTATCGTGCCCTTTTTATTGGGTTTATATAAATGTTACAGTTCAGCCTCGTTTTCATGCTGCAGGAGCGAGGGCCTAGAAAAAACCCGCTTAATGACAAATATCATAACATTTGGAGTGGGCAACAGCACGATTCTTAATCAGGGTGGCAAGACGAAGATTTTAAGCTATGTTGCCTGCTTCTACTCAAAATGTTTAGCGAAAATCGTTTTTTGGCGAGCTGCCTCCTGACTACTAGGCTTTGCTTGGAAATTTTATGGTTCTTTTCGACAAGATGCGACGGTCATTTTCATATATATCCTTCAACAGCAAATGAGCTTGACTTCACTCCTGACATAGCCAGTATTACCTTTTAAGATCTCAAAACTGTGCAGGATTCGATATCTTGATGGCATTGAATCCTGAGATTGTTAACTTGTAAACGATTTGCAAACCTCTTTCAATGTATTTTTAAAGAATTAATATGCATAAAGTTGTCCTCTTTTGAGAGCTGTTATGTTTGTGTTCTGTCGATTTGGCAATAGAGCCAGTTAGAGTTAGCTTATATTCTTTTATTTCCCTAAACAGTCAGAACGAAACCTTTACATTATGTCTTCATCAAGAGGGAAAGCCCTGAAATTTATTGAAAGTCGCAGGAAACGGTGGGAGCAAAACTTGTGAACATATTGATTTGTAATTAGCTTGTATTGTACGTATTGCATTGTTGCTAACATCAGTGATTTTTTTGTTCTTACCATATTCTAATATCATCCGTGATCCATAACTGAACAGATGCACAGCAACATACAATTGCGTCGATTCACATTTCATTAAACTTAATTGAGGCATTCAGACCTGTAACGTAGATATGCAATTTTCAGAGCGTAATTCATAACCGTCATAGATTTACCAGATTTTGTTCGTTTCGTGTCAACAATTATTAACCACGAACGGATAGTGTGGACCAGTGGTTTTACAAAGCCTAATGAAAATAGGGAAAATGTGGCTTATATGTATCATTTTGTGATGAATTGAGATTGGGATGAAGAACCCTAATCCTCCTAGTTCCGCTCTCTTTTCATTTCTTCGGCTCTCCCTGAAAAGGCAAAAATCAAATTACTTACATTTATTCTTGAGGGCCTGTTTACATGGAGGTGTGGAACCCCCGGGTGGGTGAGGTAACTCGCCTAGCTGTGTTCGAAAAATAGCCCGCGTTTTTTTTTTTTTTTTCTATTCTAAAGGCGAAGCCTTAGAGATCGAAAGCACCAAGAAGCGAAAAGACGCACGTTTTCATTCGAAGATTTCCTGCGCTCATATCGTCGTAATTCATTTTCTGTTTTGCTTGTGGATCGAGCAATTCGGAAGCCATCTCAGCAGTGTAGCAAAGTGTGGGAACAGGCTTTCTTTTTACTCACTCGTTAATCATCCTTTGCAGCGCGGATAACCAAAATTCTGTGGGATTGCAGAATCTGCTTGCAGTTGCTGTTAAATTCCTTTAACTTCTCGATCGATTGATGAAATTGAACGGTACATGGCGAAAGACTTACTTTTCTTAATGAACACCATCTAAACATGGCTAAGCCGCTGGTTCAAAAAATTACTGTTTTCCCTGTCGTGCCACCTTAATCAATAAAGAAATTTTTTTGCGACAAAAAGATTCAGCCGTTAAATTTCAAAATAGAACGAAAGGGACAGCAGACAAAACATTGGATTATATTTCGTTTGGATTCGTAGGCACATTTTGAAATATATACGTTTTGTGTCAAAAAACTTTAAAAAATCTATAACGCTGGGGGTAAAAATTTAAACTCATTAGTACAAAATCGTTTGTCTTTCCAATACTAAAAGTTTAAAAATATATGATATTTGAAAGTTGCACTTTGCCTCACTTCGCTGTCAAACAGCTTGTTTTGAAGAGTCGGTTTATCAGCGAAAAATATGGCCAAATATAATATATATTTATTATATAGATACTGATGAAATACCAGGATTTTTCCTTTTACTGAAAAATCATATCTTCACCGTACGTAGTGAAGACACTATTTTTATCTTTCACGTGCGAGGATATTGGTGTCGCCATGGTTACTAACGTGATTATAGCAATTTACAAGAGAGCTTCCCGCTCAGGCGCGTGGCCGGTTCTTTTGAAATTTCATTCACAAAAAGTTGTCTTTTATGTAGGAATTTTATCAGTATCTATAAAATAAACAGAACATTGCATAGCCGCTTGATGATACGACCTTTATCTTCTCGTGCTGAAAGTATATTCAACTCGTATATTCATTACTCCATCCTCTCCTGTTTTATATTAATGGTCTACTACCGGAAAGATTCCCGCCCTCGTAGAATATTCACAACTGTGTAGCTCATATCCGCAACATGTGCACAAACCTTATGCACGCAGTTTTAGTCTCAGCCCATTTTTGGTCCACCAGTAAATTTTTCTGATCTTAGATCTCACTTATCGATTATACACAAGCCGCTATTTAGCAGACAGAATAAAAGTGTGACTACTTCTTTGCTGACGAACAAACTCTATCCAGACCTCATACGTGCACGCAAGCGTAGAATATGCCCAAGCTTTAAATGTCGGTGAGCAGATTTTCTCAAAAGTTAACAGGAATGGTAATAATGGGTAATAGAGTGGGGCAAGTTCAATGGACTATACTCTTCAACAAATGCCTTCTCGAAAACATTAAATATGTAATAAACGCCGCGGTAATGAATGGAGTTAATAAGGTATCATTACAGCAACCTTTTTTAGTATTGAGTTCAAGACAGCTACTTTAACCTATACTAAGGTGGCCGCGCGGACCTCTGGGTGTGAGACATACGAAAAGCACGGTTTCGACTTTTCGTAACTCTCAGTGACATTCTTACATAAATTTTGTTACCGCTGATTATTATTATTATTTTTTTTTGACATCGCCCGAAAAGGACGAAGTACTCGTAGTCTACTTCTACCCGAAGATCCCTTTTACAAGGTATCAGCCTGGTCAATTCATAGCCAGTCAGTTGGGTTGTTTCATACCCAGACTAATAAGGCATGTTTTATATGTTAAGTATCTTTAAAGTGAGGTCGGTTTCTTATTTTAAATAGCAATATTCCCTGCCTTAAATAAGTTCTGTTTCTGTGTTGCCCATTTTCATATACGCGACTAGCGAATGATGTATGTTTCCTTTGTTAAAATAAACGAATTCATTACCTTTGATAACAAGGAGAGGAAAAAAATCAGGAGTCTTTCCTTTTTCAAAAGTATTCAGTGCTTTAACACATTCTTCAATAGTTATAAGTCCTTCACAACTTAGTCTATCTTCCTTAGGTTATTTTGTAATTCTAGCTTGACCAAGAAAGTGTCCCAAAATATCATGCACCGTATTAACTTTCGTACTATACAGGTTTTTATAATATTTTGAAGACGAGTCTAGTATTTTTTCATAATTTGTGGTAATAACTCCACTTAAACAGAGTTTTCTAATATGTTTCTTTGTACGGTTTCTTTTCTCCTTACTTAAAAAATACTTTGTATTCTTTCCCCATATTTGAGCCATCTCCCCCTCGAATGCACCATTAATCCATCGGCTTTATCGTCGAAAACTTTTGCTACTCAAGTTTGCACTTGTTCAGAGTCTTTTCAAATTCTTCACAAGGGTTCAGTTGAAATCTTGCTTGTGCACTTTGGAGTTTCTTCTGCAGACTTTCCTCCCTCTTTATCTCTCTTAATTTGAGTTAACTCTTTTGCGTATTGTACCGAAAAAAAGACGGACACTATATTTAATCCAATCCCAAGCAACCCTTACATCTGAGAATTATTTTCCTTCATTTTTCCATACCTCCAAATATGTTTACATTTGTTGAAAAAAATACATCTTTACATCTTTGACAACGTAACTACGACCGAAAGAAGCTGAGGGACTGGCATATTAACGAAATTTGATCACGAGGAGTCGACTTCCCCTACATTCCTTGGAATGTCCCCGCGTATTCTCTTCAAATTAAAGATTCACCACTGAATTGAGATCTTTCTTCTTGCCAGATGAGTGAGCATGTAGTTTCCTTTTTATTTTATTTATTTATTTATTTGTTTTTTACTTTCACTTGGTTGTTTTCTCGCTATACCGTAGTATAATAAGTAATATATTTTGGTGTTCGAATTACTTCATAAATTGTAATATGTTTATTATTTGTTTAAAATCCTATAAGTTAGCCAGGGAATAACTATTTGGAAAAAAGAAAAGTTATATCTCATGATATGGACCGGACATGGCTATTGAATGGAACGATGAGAGACTCCTTCAGTAAAAATTCCGTCAGTATGTTCTCGAAAAATTTTCCAACCAAGATTCTGTTACGTTTGAGTTTTTATGTTTGAGTCTGTGCGTTTTGCAAGTTGCAGATCCTTCTGAACCTTTACATCTGTTATATCCGTTGTTAGCATTCTTCCACAGACTTTTCTTCCTTCAGATTATTGATAGAGATCAATCACGATGGGTTCTTGGATAAGAACTGATAAGTTAAACATCAATACAAGTAACTGACAGCATAGTACATTACAATACAGAAGATGAATGGAAAGTGCATCTCTATTTAACTTTGGTCAAAGTATTTTTGAATGAACGCATACTCTCAAGTAACATTCACTGAAACTGTTCGGTTCTCTGGTTTACCAAAGTCATAGTATGCTGTACAGGTAAATGTTCCTGCATCACTCATGTTGATGTTTGTTATAGTCAGCACCTTTCCTTCTTGCACCACACTAGTATTTCCTTGGTTCACTGCCTCTCTTTGGTCCAAGTGCTGTTTGGTTCTGATCGACCTGAGGCTTCGCACGTTAACTGTACGTTGCTGCCTTCAAGAACAGTTGGTTTACCTCTAATTCCACTGATATTTGATAGAACTAAGAGTGATTAAAAAGTCACAAATAAAGTTCAAGGATAATTGAATGGCATGTACACATATTATAAAAAGCAACCTGCAAAAGTAATAATACTGTTAACGTGATTTTTATACGTTCTTTGCAAACCTTTCACATACAACTTAAATTCATACGTGCTATGATTTTGTAAATTTTTCAAGAATAGTCCTGGATCATAATCCATTATAAGTGCTTTAATATGCAAAAATTTCTGCCTTAAGAAATTCGGTGGGCCTTCAAAAGGCCACTAAATTTTCCTGAATTCTTTTCTCAGATTAAACTAAGCATTATTATTTTAACCGCAGTTTCCGTGAAATATTTTTTTAGAAATTAATATTAAGACTCACGGGAGCCATTAAAAAAATTACTGGAAAAATAATTTCTTTTGGGACTTTAGTCCACCAAAGAGTGAATAGCCAATAATAACGTGTCACCATAAATGACTCCCACAATGTTTTTGGCAGCAAAACATCATGGTTCTTGATTTCAATCCTTATAACATCTCTTAGTTTCAGTTGCGGCATATAGTGATCTTTGCCATAACTCTGCATATAAAAGTAAAGTGTGAATGGGTGAAGGCAAAATGGAGCCGACGAGGAGGTTGGGTGTAACAGCAAGAAATTAAAGAAATCCCAAGAGGAATGGTAACAAAATCTAGCTGAAATCGAGAAGGGCTTGTGGTTTGAGCAATCTTGCCGCATTTTTTGCGACCAGCAACCATCAAGAGGTTCTCCTGCAGCCATTTCAAGCCACTATAAATTTGAAATCAAATTGCTCTCTAAAGGAATTTAACCATGGTCTGTCAGGTAAAACTGCTACATAGTTTCCTACAAATTATGGTTTTGTAGGAAACTATCTACCTGTTTAAATACATTAAACGAGTTTATGAAAATAGAGAAAATATGTCTGGACATTTTTACTTTTGCGAAGAATTGGTATTGACATGACGAACCCTTGCTTGTAGCCTATTAGCACAGAAATATTTCGAATATTTTCCGCTCCTTTCGATTTCTCCAACTCCTCCCGAAATATAAAATTATTCGTAGTTGTTCTTAGGGTAGAGCTAGAGATATCTTACAACCCATATATCTTGATATATAGGTTGATGTTTTCTTACTTTCTGTTATTCTTACGGAGTTTTGAAGCCTTGTTTAATATAAATAGCCTCATCTTAACAGGAGGGAGGGGGTTGTTGGGAGAATTCCAGAAAATGTCCAGGGTCTGCATAACTTTAGAGAATTCTTCCAACCCCAACTCCCAACGAGTATTTTGACGAGGCTTAAGTCCGTTATAGCTTTTCTAAAATATTTCTCAGGTATAATTATAAACACAGACGGCGTATTTTGACAACCGTGTTACCCCCATCTAAACACTCCTATCGACCAATGAGAACACGCTGCTATCTTAAATATTCCCTTAGAAAGGACTATTAAATAATAAAGATCAGTAGAAAATGAGGAAATCACTTCATTTCACTGCATTGATTACACTAACTCGTCCCAACCCAACAAAGGACTTATTATACAACCGAAAGATTCAACCGCTAAATGGCGTTACACTGGACAACTGAGACAACGAACCAGTTTACTCTGTAGCAACAAATGGTCTACTATTGGGGCTCAACTTTTCGTATTAAGTGTACAAAAGTTCTATTGTTGCTGTAGGCAATTAGTTATTTAGGCGAAGCTGGGCGGAAAAGTTTAGGGTTAAAATGTTCGGGGAAGCTGTGGGCGTCAAAATTTCTCATAAAGTTTCATCCCACCTTATTAAGTTTGGTAAAAATAGACAGTTTCTGAAAATCCTTGTTTTAATGAACAATCTTTCATCATCTAATTTACCGAGAAAAAAGATTAGTGGTGAAAGATGGCGAAAAGGAGGGAATAAATCTGTCACTGATTTCTAGTTTACCGTAAATCTGCGGGAGATGGATCTCAGACAAACTGAGTGAAACTTCACTAGACCTTCTTACACTTGTCTTAAATGCCTCCTCGTGATGAGTGGCGTGTTTACTGTCTAAATCAAAATAACCCTTTCAAAACAGCAATTTTTATTCTAAACGTTCCGCGACTATTAATCTAAACAAGCAATTAAATTAATGTAAGTAAGGCGTGGGATTGGTAACTGACGAATTTATCTTCACAGGAGCTATGCAGACTCAGGAGAGAATCGAAGCCATAAGTGTTTCTTACTTCGAAACGACCAACCTGCACGTGGGTTTCAGATGATGAGTTTTACCATGTTCACGAGTATTGTGAATTTTAATATCAGTACGACGGCTGCAACAATTATCACGCCTTGTAAGGTACAAATGGGAATATTGCTTAGGTGGATTTGCAGGCACATTTTAAAAGAAATTACAAGTTTTGTCTTTAAAAAATTCTAAAAATGTATAGGACTAAGGAAAAGATATGGGTTGCAGCTTCTATAATTCTTTATAAAAAATCTTTTGTCTCTTCAAGACTAAGAATTTGAAAAATATACACATAAAAATTTATGGAACAGTCACCTTGCCTCGCTTAGCTTTAAACAAACTTTTTGTAGCCTTACTTCATCAGCTAAGAGTTAAAAGTTAACGTCAAATATAAGAAGAAAATAAATGATGATCCCATGGGGCTGCAACATCCATTACAATTCTGATTGGTTCTTAGTTGGTCGGTATTTTTGACGTACGGACCGTTGCCTATTTACAGACTGTGTGCCTGATATCACAAGTATTTTCTTCGTCTATTAACTCACTTAAGATCTTAAACGACGAAAAGTCCATTGGATGTTCGTAGGTTTAATAATACACTGGGTTTTGTCACGTCGAGACAAATACTCACTTTAAAGCTTGGTCGAACACATTTTAACAATCCATGATTATTGCTAGTATACTTGACCAAAAGTAAAAAAATATGTACATATATATACAAAAAACTGTATAAAAGCTGTACTTTGCCTCGCTTCGCTGTTAAACAGCTTGTTTTGAAGAGTTACTTGATCAGCAAATTATTAGGGTTAGGTTAACCTAAAATATATAAGGAAAGAGGAAGATGATCTCATAGGACTGCATTATTCATTACTCCATCCTTTCCTGTTTGAGAACTTGCTGGCTCACACGGCTAAATCTTCGACATTCACGTAAAGTCGATGGTCATAATTTTTTAAGTTTATCAACCCCTGTAAAAACAGGAAAGAAAGAAGGGAGGAAAACATTAGGAAAAAGTGCCACTTAAATCATACATATAAATTATACTTTGCTTAACTTTCGATGGTGCCTTTATTTTTAAACCTATTAACCCTAGACAGAATCCTCCAGTAATCACAACCACCAAGCAGAACGAAGGTTAACATCATCATTAGGCAATGAGAACTCAGAGTAAAATCAGGCAACCTGTTTCAAGCGCAGGAGAACGCGACTGACCAAGTTGGGATTGGTTGTAGTTTTGCATTTGATTAGTTGAGATGGTGGCGCAAGTTTTCTGGCAAGGAATCAGAGCAATCCAGGACTATTTTTGGTACTCAATTGAATACTACTCTACAAGCGAAATAAATTGAAACCACGAACTACGCTTCGAAACCTTTTTGGTGACACTGTTATCGAGTAAATTTGACGGCGATAGATTCAAACGTTCAAATTTTCAAAAGGAAAAAAAAGAGTCTCTGCAAACTCTTCAGTTCTACCTTGTGCTGGTTTTCCATCTCTCTGAGTTTGTTTCTCAACTTCTCAAAAGATGGTCTCAAGTTAGGTTCGTCTCTCCAACATTTCGTCATTATTTCATACCTGAAACAAAAGGATGTTATGAATATCTCGGTATGTCATTGGTGGCTTAAAAACGGTCCAACCTATTCTCGATGAACAGGCCTTTTTGGTTAAAAATTTCCCCTATTTTATAGCAAAGGAGAAAAGGTATATAACACAGTAATAAACTCGTGATAATGTACTTCTCCTTTCATTTCCCTTGGTTAGGCTGGTTCAACAAGTAAAAATGTTAAAATTGGAGGTGCACATGCAACCCCAACAAAAGCAGGACAAACAAACAAGAAAAACCAAAACCCAACAACAGCAACACCATATTAACATACAACTTATCATCCACATGTTGTGGTTTAGGCATTCTGTATCCCTCTTGAAGTAAGTTTGCAATTTTTCTTCCATCCATTCGTGAATACGGTGAACCACCTGAATTGGAGTAGGTAAAGTTAACATATTCTAAAATGAAAATCTTTACATATGTAAAAATATTTTCACATAACGATTCATTTATGTATCATTGTTCTTAGTTCTTTCGGCTAAGTCCAGCGACTGTGGCAATCTGAACCAGCTTGGTAGTTACGAAACACATGGCCAAACTGAAAACTCCGGACTAACCAGAATAACTTACCAATTGTGAAAATCTCATAGAGAAGAATTCCGTAGCTCCACCTGTAAAACAAACGGGATGAGTTTAAGGAAATAAGAAATATGAAAATGAGCACAACCACTCCCTCCTGAGATGACATCACATCAAGAAAATACAAAGACCAGAATACAGTAGTGACCCAATAACTTTTCCCAGACCCGAAAACAATTCATTCAAAACAATCTCATTAAGCCTATATGCAGTGTCCATGTCTTCATTGTACTCACACATCACTCTTGGTAGAGTACTTTCCGTAAAGCAACGCCTCAATAGCAGTCCATTTTACAGGGAGACGCCCCTAAATAAGAAGCAAAAATGCTAGGAGTTGGCGTAGTCCTTTCGAGTGTCAATGCTCCAAGTGGCGAGAACAGTGTCACGAAGGTTCTTTAAACTAACCAGGATTTACTGAGCTTGTTTTCTTTAAGCAGTCACTCCAGTGAGGCATATTCAGCCACATAATCCAAGGCTTGCAAGAACATTATGTGTTTTCTTAAAATAATTCATACTGACCCTGGTTTTTCTTTCGTAAATGTTGTCCTCTTGCACATCTCTGGCCATTCCAAAGTCCGTCACTTTGCACGTTTCCCCTTCTCCAACCAACACATTACGAGCTGAAAGATCTCGATGGATAACCTTCAACAAAGCGAAGATGTTGACAGCTGACATGGGATGACACGGCATCATTGGGAATGCGGAGTCCAAGAGTCAATAATAAGTGAGGTATAATGAGCGTGAGCCTTATTTTCTAACGACATCACTCAAAGAATAGTTATATCACTCACTGGTATCGATGACAAGTAAGACATTCCATCGGCAATTTGCCAAGCAAACTTTATCAGCTGCTGAGAAGTAAGATTTGTTTGTGGTTTGATATCCGGGTCTTTGTAGTAAGTATCACTTAATCCACGACTCTTTCTCAGGTAACCCAGCAGATCACCAAAGGGAACGTATTCGATCAACACCAACAGTGGCTCTAGAAAGACAAACAAGGTAACGCCAATACTGATTAAACGCTACACATGGAAGCAGAACTACGAATAAATGTTGCCCTCCAATAATCGCCGCCGCCACTTGGAAGAGTACGACGTCCATTTCACGAAGATAAGAAAATAAGATATTGGCTACCTTAAAATGCGTTAATATTTAAAATCCTTGAAATTTATTTTAAAAGCAAGGTGGCCACAAGTTTCTAAACTCGGAAAATGAATTATAAAGGGGTAAGATGTCGATGCCACGCATTACACTTTAAATTTGTTAATAGCAGGTCATTTCACCTTCGTGGCCTACTACTGTAAAGGTTCCCGCTCTCTATATTTATATCGGAGCGGCTCATATGCGCAATATTCGCGTAAACCTTGCGCATAAAGGTATAGTCTGAACTCATTTGTGACCCATCATTAAATTTTGCTGATCTTAGATCTCAGCTATTGAGTAGACACACGCTGCTAGTTAGCGGACAGTACAAAAATGTGACTATTTCTCTGCTGTCTGAGAAGCCCTATCCAGACCTGACAAGTGCATGCAAGAATAGAATAAGGCCAAGCTTTAAGCGTCGGTCAAGATTTTCCAAAAGTTAACCTCGTGTAACTTAAACTTCGAGCTATGTGCGGAGCTCTGGGTGTAAGAAAAGTAGGGTCTCTTCAGGCCCCAAGCTGATAATAAACATTTCAGTGCTTACCAGATTTAGTAACGCATCCCAGGAGTTTGATGACGTAAGGATGAGGTTTAAGTTGTTTCATCAATTCAAGTTCAGATAGCAAATTCTTTTTCTCTGATTCAGAAGCGTTTTCTGCAATATAACTTTCGATCAATAATCTTCAAATAACATTTCACATAAAATCACAAACATATCATTCAACTATGCCATTTATATAGATAGGTAGGTAGGTAGGTAGGTAGATAGATAGGTAGATAGATAGATAGGTAGGTGGGTAGATAGGTAGATAGATAGATAGATAGATAGATAGATAGATAGATAGATAGATAGATAGATAGATAGATAGATAGATAGATAGATAGATAGATAGATAGATACCGTCCATTTCTACCATACATCATATTTCAGGTGCTTTTCTAAACTCAAAAACAAAAAATTTTCATCAATTCAGGTTCAGATAGCAAATTCTTTTTCTCCGATTCAGAAGCGTTTTCTGCAAACTCAAAAACTTGCACACAAAGATATAGTATGAACTCATTTATGATCCATCATTAAATTTTTCTTCATCAAAGTAGAGCGCTGTGGCTCGGAAATGTAACCATCATTTGAGGGGGATCATTTACATAAAATCTTAAACAACTAAAAAAAGAAAAAAATGGACAGAAAACAGAAAAATCTGAACAGATCTCTAGGTCTGACCAAACACCATGAAATACAATATGATTTCAGTATTACTTGGTACCTGACAACATTTTAACAGCTACGAGCGTCTTCTTAGTTCTTCCTTGAAGGTTATCGGCTGTTGCCTTGGCAACCAGACTAAAAGCACCTTTTCCAACGATCTGCTTTATCGTCACATGTTCTCCAGGAATCTCCCAGGAGCGTGTGTATGGATCAAGAGAAGCGTACTCGCTGATTTGTTCATTGCTGAGTGGACTCGCATCTACTATCACTTGTGAACGAGCTCTGTCATTTAGTGCCAAGTAATGGCTTTGAGAAGGTTTAGGCAATTCGACTACAATCTTTAAAAAAAAAATTGTTTTCAATTTCATAAAATACTCCCGTATTTACTCGAATGACGTATTTTAATGTATCAAGGAATAATCGACATATATTCCTTGTGGATCATAACTTTCTGGGTTTGGGTAAACTGTCAACCACAATGAAAAGAGACTCAGTAAAGGCAGCAACTTAAGAAAAAAAGCGGCTTAGACCACAGGAAGATATATATCTATACAAGGTAAAAGATTTCATCGTTTGACCTACATTTGTACTTTCTCTTCTTTCATCATCTGAATTTCCAAATGTTCTGAAACAACAACACAAATATATTATAAAACTAGTAATAATCAAAGATTAGTAAAGTGCGTTCGATCCCTAATAAAAGTTTTTATAATTGTACAGATTGCGCAGTGGTGTCCTCAGCTCGAGGTGGCCAAGAAAACACTTGCACATGAGATCGAGACTATTTGTGCCAAATGGCCCGCCAGTCAGCCAGTCAGCCAGTCCAAAATGGCGCCCAATTCCTGAAATCGCATGGCATCACGATCGGTCCCCTTGTGACTGGTCCATAAAACCCTTTCAGAGTGATTTCCGGAAAAAACGACACGATTAGCATGCGTTCTCCTTCGTCGAACGCAACAAAATCATTCCCACCGCCTAAAAATTCCAGAATAACAGAAAAATTTTCCAGAAAGCTACTTCTAGTTAGAACCGCAGCTGGAAAATAGGTGGAGGCTCGGCTACAGTCAGACCTTTAGAGTGGACTTGCCCTGAATTTCCAGAGAGGATTTCGCATCCTCTACATTCACGCAGTACTTTTGATAAGAATTGTTGTGAATCGCCGGTTACTTTCCACGCCCAAGTCCAATTTTAAAAACAACAAAATTAATATTAAGTAACATAGAAAATAATATTCATTTTAGTATTGGATTATTCACCTTACTTATTTTTCAAATTCTGTGGTCTTTGATTTTTAGATTCATTCTTTGACTGGGAATTTTCTTGTTCAGCTTGTTTCGCATGTTTTACATAAATTCATCAAGCACTAATTGCACATCTTTGTTTACTCAAATAATTTTCAACCTGCTTTGTAGTGAACTAAAATTATCAAATATTTTTAGAAAATTCTTCTCAACTGCTGGTTAGAAAACAAACTCGAGAGTCATAATCGACAAAATAGCGTACTTGTCGATTTTTTAGAAGTTTGCATAAAAAACGCTTACCCGAGGTTTAATTACAAAAGGAACAAAAACAGCTATTGAACACTTAGCGTCTAACTTTCCGTTAAAAAAAGCTGCATTTGCGGTAAAAAGCGAGGAAGACTATGTTCTCATGGTTACTGGTTTATTTCGTTCTTACACGAAATTTCCAGAAAAAGAAGATTAAGAATTTCCAAGAACAGTCTGACTCAAATTTCAGTAAACAATAACCGTCCTTTCAGAGGACTTTTGTGTGAAACTCAGGGAGCAGGTTTGCATGTCAGCCAATGGAAGATTTTGATCAGAAATAAAACGATGAGTTACAAAAATTGTTACAAAGAAATTCAAATATTTAATGATTATTTACCGAAGCTAACACAAAAAAACTCCATTTGAAGCTAGTTTATTCTGAATGCCGGGAACTAATGGACTAACGAGAGGGAAATCGTTCTCCATTTTATTCCCCTGCGGGTGCTTCACCGAGGTAGCCACCATCTTCAAATCTCATTGAAAGCACTGTTCAAGTATTGAAAGTTTCACTTCCCCCAGTAACGAGCAGAGGAGAAAAGGATCATGTGCACAAAGTGGCCGGTCTTCTGTGACCGAGGAAACAGACTTTTTCTGCAGACACCTTCTCACTGAAATTTCTTTTTGAAGGCTTCACAAATTTGTCGACCATATACACATAGACCTGTCTGTATAAAATAATATGTTTGGAGCAATAGCAGTAGTAGTATTAATAATAATAATAATAATAATAATAATAATAATAATAATAATAATAATAATAATGATGATGATGATAATGATAATGATAATACTGATAATGATAATAATGACCCTATATGCACCTGTCATAAAGTGAGATCACTAAGGGAAAATCGCTCTACTAATAGGGGACACTTAGAAAACTATTACTCGGGCCTGAAGTGATCTTTCATTATATGAAAAAAGTAAGTACACTTGTAGTTGATGTTCATGTTCCTTTTTATGTTAACAGAGCATTCAGATGTTGATTATTGTGCAAGTGACAATCATTACAACCCTTGTAATGATATCTCTCCCACGCAAGAGTGCCTTTTAGCCAGCGAGTGTCTTACATGATCTATCATTACTGGATCAATCACAAATATTCACATGAAAAACAGTATGGCTGTTAAATTGTTAAACAGATTGGGCCATAAGGAACAACGCAAGTAAACAGCAACGTGTTGATACAAAAATCTCACCTTCTGCTCATCGCTACCTCTATGGTGGAAAACGAGACAAAAACATAAAAAGCAAACGAAAACAAAACAAATAATGGATGAAAAATCAACAAAACAAAATTATCTCGCACAAGCAAAGTAAAGTCTGTTTGATGCCCATCAAGTTGAGTCATAAAGTAAACAATGGCAAGAGCAATCTTTTGATTATTATTAGCTATCAGCAAATTAAATGACAAAACATTAATTATTAGTTAACAATACACTATTTTAAAAGATATCTGTGAAAAATAAAGATGCTTAAGCAAAGATCATCATGCAGTGGATAGTGAACTGAAGCTAGTACCTAGTCTTAGAAAAAAGAAAAAATATTACAGATATATTTCTGGGATTCCAAAACTACTGTTCATTTGAGAGCATAACATGTATGCTACACTTACCTTCAGTGCCTTTCGTGTTGCGCCTCTTTTTCCCACAAGTCCACCAAACTAATATTCCAGCAACAGCCAGTGCAGCAACTGATCCAAACACTGCACCAACAATAATAAGTACAGTACCTACAAAGCATGATAAGCTTGAGATAAATTTTTACTGGTGAAAGCGTAGCTTCTCAAGCCAAACAATTGGTCGAACTTCAGTTGTATTGAGTTTCATTTTTCACACAGGAACCCTTTTTTCACTGAGATTGTCATTAAAGACTGCAGTGGACATCTAGTTGCTAACGAAAATACAAACCTCACACGCGATAGTTAACCATTCCATGCAACAATGTAACAAACTTAATTTAGCTTGTAAACAGCAGATGCACTTTTCACCACATCTGAAACCTACGACATTCAATGATCTTAACATAACGGGTCTGCTTCGGTACTCCTGTTTTGGTTAGGAAACCTTTCGAATTCGGTCAGAACTTAATTTATCTTCTTCCCACAGTTCATTAAAGAAATGGAACTTAACACTGCGTAGGTACTCGTTCAGAAAAAAAGTAGGGAATACAAATTCTGTTTATGCAAGAGGACCCCAAAATACAGAAGAAAAATTCATATTGAAAATAATCCGCCCCTTTCAAGCTTAATATTCAGCTAAAATAACAGAGCCACATACTCCTCAATCCACAAACTCACACATAAAATACTTCATAGTCAAATCTTAACTTTTTCGCCGCAAGGGTTGGTGGCATAGACAAGATGAAACAGAAAAAAAAGAAGAGAAAACCACCAAATCTCTAAGTGTCGATAAATAATAAATAAAACTCAATAACTTTAAAGCTGATTAATTGTTCCCCGAACCAAAAAGATGCAACAGTATTAAGGTATGCAACACAAGCAAAATTGTGTCCTTCGACTTACAAATTAAAGCTCGATTCAGTTGGACAGTGAACCATTACGTTTATTTTCTGAAAACTTAACGTCATAGGTGTCTGGAGAGTACTTAATCGGATTAAATTACTCGTTACTTTATATTTACAAAGTCATTTGTCTTTAAATAATGGTTTACCTCCTTTTGTCCCACTTGGCAGCTCTGAGGATTTCACAAAAAATACGCTTGATTAATTTAAGGACAATAAGCATAGCGGCTACTTTTTTTAGGATTATAAGGGCCACTCAATTATTTTCCTATTAATCCTCTCAGAAAAACAAAATGTAAATTAACCATTGGTTACATGTTTTTATAAAAAGGAAAATCAACCGCTAACTCAGCGAAATGCACAACAGAAGCACATGCACAATTAAATGAAGCATACTGTCCAATTACACAAGCATGACACATACACTGTCTTGGTACACTGTCCAATTACCAATTCTGCGTTGAATAAAAAAAATTGGTGCTTTCAACCAAGTATAGATTAAGGTCGTTCATTAATCGACTTGCGTAACGTTTATAGGAGGACTTACCCCCAGAGGACCCGTCAGGTGGTGATGTGGCACATTCACCTGTTGGTTTCACATCAGGTTTTTTCCCTTTTATAGAACCCACACTAAACTCTCCCAGCTTTCCATCTTTCGCAGCATCATTAAGTGTTATGATAACATCTTGTTCCTTTGTAGTGGAGTTGAATTTCAATGCAAGGTCAACAATCATACTTTCACACCTTGGAACAGACAACAACTAAGGGTTAGACTAACATGAAGTATAAAACAGACAACTAAAAAATAAAAAAACGTGAGCAACTTCATTTACATACCTAACACTCATTGACTGCACTCTTTCATAATGAAGTTTACCCGCAAATGTTCTTTTAAGCTGTAAGTAAACATTTCAACTATTTGTCTAAAAATGTTAGTGTACATGTATCACACATGTATTGTGCATGTACATGTAAATGAGCACAAATGAGGATGATATTAAATATTATTTACTAGTTATGATTTAATTGAATATGACCGATTTGCTAAGAATCAGCCAAGAATCAGTCTATGAGTATTAATCAGTCTGTTTCTTTAAAAGTGCTACTTCAATTGCAAAGTTCTTCTTCTTGTCACATTGCTTCGTATTATATTTGTCCCAAAAAAGCACCCGGACAATTATAACCCCAAATACAAAGCATGAGAAAACATTGAATAATAAGAAGATTGTGAAAAGCCTTTTAAGCTCAAGGTTTGACAGAACTCGAGTCTGAATGTAATCTAGAGACATAAGAAACACAGTAGAATTAAACAAAATATTCTTCACTCCAAAAGCTGAATTTCCTTTTAATCAATCAGTCTCTGAACCTGAACTGACGAACAATAAATAAATAAATAGATATTGAAAATAAACTGAGCATAGGTAACATTTTATAAAATACAGTTACCTCTTCTTCCAATTTCCTCAGAAACAAGGATTTGTTATATTTTCCGTCAGTGCAATTTCCACTTGTGACAACAATGGTTATGTTAATCACATTTCCTGCAATGTCTGTGAAAAGGGATAAGGCTCTAAAATCTACCTTTCTCCACACTTGTAAAATCCCATTATGTAATAAGAACCATTAGCATTTCAATACTACACAATTACCAAAGCATTGAAAATTTTTGCACAATGCTAACAGATTTCCTCAACATGTTTATTGATACAGTATTCCTTTTGATAAGTCCCTGGTTCAACTCTTAGAACCCAATCAAAATGTCGTGTTGGTAGAAGTATGAAGCTACAGTTGTGTATGCAGGACTATGATGTAACTTACAAACAATGGCAGTTTTTGTATCAGGTCCATGTACATTGACTGCTCTGCAGGTGTAGCTGGCATCATTGAGCACTTGTGAAATATCAAGAGTATTCTTGTTACAAACTTGTTCTCGGTCACATGGAATCCAAGTGTAAGTAGGTGGAGGGTTTCCTTCTACTTCACAGTTAAGAGTTACACTTTGTTGTATATCAACAATATACTCAGTTTGAAATTTGATAATCGTGGCTGGATCTGTACATCAAATTGGAAAATAAAAAATCAGATTAAAAAACAGCATCTACACAAAGATACATCTGAGTGACTTGCCTTCAATAGCTAAGGGGTCCAAACACACCAGTACACTTATATACAAGATGATATTCTTTATCCAGTAATCCTCTTGTCATTCAGAGGTATGTGTTAAATAAATTACTAGTAATCAATTTTTTATAGTAACCAATAATTTAACAGAGAACTTTTTCAGCTTGACACTCAGAAAACCATATTTCAATTCTTTGAGCTGAGATCTTGCCAGATATGATGAACTGGATTGTTTTAAAAACATTTTCTAATCAGCATCAACTCAACATATCTGCTAACAGAGACAGTGGAGGACTGGAATCTCCTAACACAAAATGTAATCTTAATTTTAGCAAGGGTTTATATTAACAGAGGTGGGCATTAACACCTCCTAGAAAATGCAGTGCTCCAAAGCTGTGACCAATTCGGTCATTGTGGTGAGTGAAAAACACATTTTGCAAATAAAATTTCTACAAAAGTTGCCAATTGACAACCAAAAGACTAAAAAATAAAAGTAAACTCTGAGGAAGAACTTTATCAATCCTTGGTCAAACTGTCAATGATTTATCCTGCATTTAATGTTTCTGACACATCCATTTCGTATGTGACCATATGAAGATGAAATACAAAGTGCTTTCTTACTATGCAACTTGGAAAGGAGCTCAATCCATACAATAGCTGACTACTTATATTTTCCAAGCAATGACAACATATATATGTTTTCATCTGCATTTTTATCCCAAAACTTTTGATGGTTTTTCTAATTTTCGGGATGCTTTGCAACTATAAGCAAGTGAATATAAATCATGTATTCTATTTAGTTATAGCACATGAGATTAAAAGTTGTGAAAAGTTAAATTCTTGACAAAGGGCCAGTTCCGAAAAAGGCCAAAGTATCCTCCAGTACCAATTAATCTAACCTTTTAACCTTCAATTTTTACAGTAAGAAGTATGGTGACAAAATATCTAGTGATTAAAGATGCTATTCACAATATCGAAGGCTTAAAACCACTATTTTAGGTCACTTTAAACATGAGATGTTTCTCAGCTGAGCAATAAACCAAATTCATTTCAAACATGGATTGTTACTAGGTCTCAGCAACTTTGTAACAAATCATTTCTACTTCTAGACATCAGTTTCTTCATTCTCACTCTCTTGGCCATTATTGCAATCTTTTAATCAGCAAGGGAGTGAATAAGTCAAGTTGACAAATGAAAGTTTTGCAATCATGTCACCTGGTTTACCAAATACCTTAAGTAATGCAACTTGAAATATGCTCCCTTTAATGTGAGTTTTTTTGTTTGTTCATTTGTGTGTTTTATAGCAACCATTTTAAGATTAAAGGTTGCCAAAAGGTAACTTCTTGAAAAATTTAGCTTGGAGCCCTGCATGGATGTACTTAGCCAAACATCAATAAAAGTAATTGACAGCACAGTACATTACAACACAAAAAATAATTATATAGAAAGCGCATCTCTGTTTAACATTAGTCGATGTTTTTTTCAATGCATACTCACAAATAATATTCACGTAAACTGTTCGGTTCTTTGGTTTACCAAAGCCATTGTATGCTGTACATGTAAATGTTCCTGCATCAGTCCTTTTGATGTTTGTTACAGTCAGCACCTTTCCTTCTTGCACCACACCAATATTTCCCTGGTTCCCAGGATTCTCTTTGGTCCAGGTGATGTTTGGTTCTACTTGACTCCATGCTTCACAGATCAACTGCAAATTGTTGCCTTCAAGAACAGTTGGTTCACCTCTAATCCCAGTGATATTTATTGGAACTAAGAGCAATCAAACAATCACAAGTAAACTTCAAGGATAATAATTATTGAATGGCATGCACACAGATAAGCAACATGCAAAAGTTATAATACATGATTTTCAAACATTCTTTACAAACCTTACACATGCAAATGAAATTCACATGTGTTATGATTGTGCATATAATACAAAAACAGTTCCTGGATTATAATCCATTAAAAGTAATTTAACATGCCTGCCTTAACAAATTTGCTACACCATCAAAAGGCCACTAAATTTTTCTGAATTCTTCTCTCAGCTAAAATAAGCATTATTATTTTAACTGCAGTTTCCAAGAAATAATAATTGTAGAAATTAATATTGACACTCATGGGAGCTATTTACAAAAACAAAAATATGTCTTTAAAAAACAGTTTCTTTGGTGTGAATGGCCAATTTTAATGTGTTACCATATATGATTCCCACAAAGTTTTTGGCAGCAAAACATCATGATTCTTAATTTAATCCTGGAAACATCTCCTAGTTTCAGTTGTGTATAGTGATCTTCTACATCCCTTTTAACAAATTCATTTAGTTTCAATTTGTTACAAGGGATGTAGAAGTTTTTTCTCACTAAGAATTCAAATTCTCCAATTTCAAACTGCATTTAAGCAAGACCCATATAACAGTATACTACGGTTAGGGGTCGCCTTCCGTATAGTCAGCAATACTCACAAGCTTACCTATGACTTGCACCTGAATTGCTCGTTTCCAAGTATCGCCTTTGCTATCACTTAACTCACAGCTAAATTCTCCATTAGACTTATCGTCAGCAATAGTGACGGGAGAGATTGACAGAGAAGCACTTTGTGGAGTCGCCCTTACGTTGAATCGTTTCTGAAATTCATCTCTAATAGGAATTGCTGTTGAACCATCTGCTCTAATGCTGATTAGACCAACAGTGTTGAATTTTATGACAAAACCAAGACCAAGACCTACTGACACACTGAAGTTCCAGTTCAGTGTGACAGAAGATCCTCCATAAACCTCTACAAAGCCAGGGGGGAGCACTTCAGCTGTATTTGATGTTGTCCTCACAGGAGAAGGTTCATACCATGTGACACTTCCGCCATCTGAAGGAGAATATTTTAGATCGCACTTAAATTACAATTTATGCTTTCGATTTCATAAAAACAAGAACAGCTTCCCTTTGATTTTGAATTAAAACACCGTATATATTCTAAAAGGCATCACAATCTGCTATTGTCGATCTAAAAAATCATCTAAATAAAGTACATCATAAGATGAAACTATCGAGTTCTGTTACAAAAGAAGGTAAACGCTGAAAATTGCTGTACAAATCGAAAAAAAACTAATCCCAGATAAATACATTACCTGTTGGTTGGGGTATGAGAAAAATACATAAAAAGATAAATTTCAAATTAAAAATCAATTCAGAGACGTCCCTGTTTCCCAAAGATGAGTATGCTGAGCCCGATGAAAACATCATCGCCAGAAATAAACGACAAGGACGGTACAGATTCCTCAATCTCGTGCGCAGGGTCATTTTTGGCTCGTTGTCAGCGGTATAGTCGGCAAATAATAATCCTAGGTACATCCACCCGTTCCTCACGTTGTAACCCAGTAACTACTGGACTTGTAATGACGTTGTAACCAGTCAATTAATGCATTGTAATCGGGATAGACCTATTGACAAATCTAGACCTGGGGGAGGGGTGAATGAGTAACTAAATTGCCCATAAGAGACGCCATATTGGATTTTGATGGGAATGTTTTTGGGCCGGGCAAGAGGAAAGGATTTTCCTCCTTTAAAGTGGTAGACAGATCAAATAAAACCGGAAATCCACCGTCCAACTTCCTTCTACTCTGCCTCTGGAAAAAAGAGCAACATCGTAGTGTGGAAGATGTGGAACAAGGTGAAGAAGAGGAAGATCCGTGCGCTTTGTGTGATGGTGACCCGCCAGATTCCGACGATGATGTGGTGCCCACTTCCTCCACCAGCTCCTACAAAATGCGCAAGGAAAGGCTCCACAAAAACTGGGAATCCTTGCGATCCACATTGCTGAAGTTCTCTGTTGAAATGGAAGGTTTCGTGCCCCATCAATGTAATTGTGGTAAAACGGTGGAAAGTCGATGCAGGGATTGTAGCTTTACGGCATACTTCTGCCTTGATTGCTGTAATCACCTGCATCAGACCAAACATCATTTTCATCACCCAGAAATAATACAGGTATGCATGACCTTTATAATTGTCAATTTTGTTTTTGCCCAGAAGAGTAACCCGGGTTTAAGAAATTTATTAAGCTTTTTTTTTTTTTTATACTGAATTTTTCAGGACGGTGTTTGGAAATTGCACACTGTTCCTGACAGGACATTGAGTAATCCCTATCATTCTTGCTCATTTTCCTACACAAGGGAAATAACGGTTATAGATGAAAGAGGTAAAGCTATCCCTAAAGACCAAACCATGATTGTTGTTCATGTTAATGTAGTCCTGGTATTCACTTTTTTGCAGTTATTTAATATATTGTAAACATTTATATTGTTTTGGTGAGCTTAATTCTAAGGTTATTAAAATATCGGTATAAAGTCAGCAATGTTCTTCCTTGTTGAATATTTTTTTCTGAAGGTGGTCAGCATCTATTGAAGATTCTCTGTTGCACTTGTTTTAGTGTGGCAGAGAGTTTTCTGTTTCAAGGTTTGTGGCCTGCTACGCCAGTGGAACCAACCTTGGCATTCACCACAAGTCTGATGGAATTTAGCCTGGCACTTGTGATGGAATGCCAAGTTTCCATTTTTGATCTTGTGAAGGCCTTAGACTTCTACTCCCACCCTCTCATAAAGGTTCGTTATAGGTTTAGCTGTAAACGACTCCATCGTGTGATAGTTATCAGGGTTGGCCAGGGTTTTTGGGTATATGGTATTAAGGGGCTTTTTTAATTTGGGTATACGGTATATTTCAGCTGAAAGATGGGTATACTACTAATTTCGGGTATATAGTAGACTATATAACGCTTTGATTAATTTTAGGTATATTGGGAGAAATCTTGGGTGTTTTGGGGTATTTTGGCGGATCTTTTTCGGGTATACTGGTATACCACTATGCCCCGCTGGCCGACCCTGAATTATTGAGGGCAAAACCAAATAAACCATCACACAAATAATATAGAAATCATGAGATCATAATATATTATTGCTTTAGTATAAATCTTCATGACCTAGCCAAAACTTTATCATGATCTCCTTCATAGATACTGAAACTAAACAAATGAAAATACAGTTGAAGCTCTCATACATGTACACCCTCGGGACACGTTAAAAGTGTCTGTAACTGGAGCTGGCCACCTTACAAGAACTGTTCTCATAAGCGGCCACCACCAGAGGTGTAGCCTAGATGTCCGCTTATGAGAACTTTCCCAGCTAACAAATATTTGGAAGACAAAAAATACCACCAAATGAAATATTGCAAACTACACAATGTTATGATAATGGTGAGTGTACAGTACTGTATACTGCAGAATAGAATCCAGTTCCTTCTGCAAGTTCTAAACTTCCAGACTCAAACTGATTACTACTCACTATCTATCACAGAATAGATAGTGGGTAGGGCAGCCAATCAGAGAATAGCATTCATGATAGATTTACAATAGAACAGATGTAGCAAATTGTTATATTTGTTATTTATTGTTTTAATTGCAGAAAAGGAAGATATATGACTAATTTATTGACAGCTTTGAGGAATTCAGGTGGCTTAACAATTAATGTTTGTGAATTTAGAACTTCCAGCAAACAGTTATCTTGCAACATCCCAGTTTTATGTGTATAAGACCTTTAGAAGTGTTTTAATGAGTAACTTAGATTGTAGTTAAATGTTTTGGATCAACTTTATCCTTAGTTTAAATTTTATTATCCTTTGTTTCTATGTATGGTAATTTATGGTGATATATGCAGATAACCAGTTTAAAACAAAGAGAACTGAATGAAGTGTTATAAATTTGACACAAAGCATCAACTGATACCTCGGTAGATGGTAATGAAGACCATAGAAATTTGGTCAAGTTAAAAGTTAGAAATACCTTGTGATCAACGCAGTTTAGGTTGTAAAACCATGCAAAGTCTCTTGAGGTGAGCTCCTGTATTCAGTGCATTTGGTGACACCCGGTGTTCTTCAATTTTTTTTTTCAGAATCCAATTCCTTCTGCAAGTTCTAAGCTTCCAGACTCAAACTGATTTGCAGAGTTTTTATTTAAGTGGTTATGTTAAAAAATTATTATTTTAATTTGCTCTGTTCTAAAACAGTCAAACCGGGGCATTACAGGCTCATGATTTGCGCGTTCTCATGTCCAAATATGGTAAAATGGCGCAATAGTGGAATCATAATGTTTTCACTTTCTACTTCGTAGCTGTCTCTCCCTGGACATTATTGTCCCGGGAGAGACAAACTTGTCGGGATGAAGGGCATCCTTTAAACCCTGCGTCTCCGAAAGGTTTTGTTTCGGCCGGGCAGTTTGCAGAGCTTCTCGTCGCGGTTGGATGTAAGCAGTCGGCCAGGCGACAAAACTCCCTTCTTCTACTTCCCCAGAATGGGTGGGATATTCTTGCCATGGCTCCACTTTTCCCTTTGACAAGATATCCTGTATCATCACTGCGGCCCATCCGGTTTTCAGTGCCCGGCCGTGTACCATGCCTTGAGCAGTTACAACACCCCGACAAACGAGTTTGTTGGAGTTGTCAAACAGCTCAACTTCATTACCTAAACCAGACAAAGAAGTATAAATTGAATCGACTGAATTGCTCAAATAAAATGCTAAGTATAGTGACTAAAAGACAGCAGTTTCCTATTGGTGTCACTATGATTGTCCAGTCAGATTAAAAGCCGGAAAAATCAAGTTCAAAAATATAAATATATAATTAAAAACAAACACACAGGAACACACGAGCGGTGATAAGTACGGCGTTTTTAAAATCAAATCGTTATTGTGTTGTAGTTCTGTCTATCACCGATGACCTATATTTTTGTGTGTGTGTGTGTGTGTGTGTGGGTGTGTGAGAGTTTTAGCCATACACATGAATAAAACACACCTTCACTGGCACCAGTGGAAGTGTCAGGCTGCGTCTGAGGTGCTGAGAACTAAAAATGCACCACAACATAACATTTAATCTCTATATTGAAAACTACTTTAATTAATCTGAATTTAGTTCTTTGAAAATGGCAGCAGAGGTTTTCAAAGTTTTACCTTGGGACAAGCAGGACAAACTGGACGCCTGAGTGGGCAAACCTCATTTTCAGTAAAACACTGGAGAACCTTTACATGATACCTGTTGTAAAGAGACATACCTTTAATGTGCACAGTGTTTACACTAATAAGCATTTTAAACTAATAAAAGCATCTATCGAGTTCAAATTACCAAACCATATGGTATTTTTTTGAACCAGCATTAATGACAATAGATAATTATTTGTTGCACTATCGTGGCCTAAGAATTAAATCAGATATTTGAGTAATTTCTTCTTTCACTTGTAGTCTTATATTTTCTGGAAAATACTTTTAATTATATGTAAAACTCAATCAAAAGGGATATTGGTTGTTTTATTCCTTTTCACAAAACAAAGTAAGTGTTTTCGACTCTCCCTGGATGCTAGTCCATTTCAGGGTCACCCCCCCCCCTCCCCAGCAGTTAATACACCGGTTCCCATGTATCATCACCCGACTGAAGAGAGGCATAGTAAAGGTTAAGTGTCTTGCCCAAGAACATAACGCAGTGCCCTTACAAGAGCTATTTTTTGGGCCCAGTGCATACTAACCCGGCATAAGGTATATTTTTGGTCCAGCGCATACCGTGACAATTTGTCCACCACGCCCCCCCCATGCGTCTCTATACAATAGTGACAGGGTTCGCACTCACCTTGAAAGTCCTTGAAAATCCTTGAATGTCAAAATAAAAATTCACGGCCTTAAAAGTCCTTGAAAATTGCAGACAGTGCTGGAAAGCCCTTGAATTCACTAAATTCACCCCATTTTTCAGTCTGTTTTTGTGTCTACCCCATTTTTCAGCCTCTTTTTGAAATAGAGTAAAATCGGGGCGAAGAGTTGATATGCCGGGTATACGATATAGCGCTTAGTGTGTTAAATTCACAAAATTCACCCCATTTTTTAGTTTCTTTTTGAAATACAGTAAAATCGGGGTGAATAGTTGGTTAGCCAGGTATAGAACATAGCGCTTAGTATGTGAAATTCACAAAATCCACCCCATTTTTTAGTTTCTTTTTGAAATACAGTAAAATCGAGGTTAATAAATGGTTAGCCAGGTATAGAACATAGCGCTTAGTATGTTAAATTTACAAAATTCACCCCATTTTTTAGTTTCTTTTTGAAATACAGTAAAATCGGGGTGAAGAGTTGGTATGCCGGGTATAGTACATAGCGCTTAGTATGTTAAATTTACAAAATTCACCCCATTTTTTAGTTTCCCTTTGAAATACAGTATAATCGGGGTGAAGAGTTGATATGCCGGGTATAGGATATAGCGCTTAGTATGTTAAATTTACAAAATTCACCCCATTTTTTAGTTTCCCTTTGAAATACAGTAAAATCGGGGTGAAGAGCTGGTATGCCGGGTATAGGACATAGCGCTTAGTATGTTAAATTTACAAAATTCACCCCATTTTTTAGTTTCTTTTTGAAATACAGTAAAATCGGGGTGAAGAGTTGATATGCCGGGTATAGGACATAGCGCTTAGTATGTTTAATTCACAAAATTCACCCCATTTTTTTGTTTCTTTTTGAAATACAGTAAAATCAAGGTGAATAGTTTGTTAGCCAGGTATAGGACATAGCGCTTAGTATGTTAAATTCACAAAATTCGCCCCATTTTTTAGTTTCTCTTTGAAATACAGTAAAAGCGGGGTGAAGAGTTGATATTCCGGGTATAGGATATAGCGCTTAGTATGTTAAATTTACAAAATTCACCCCATTTTTTAGTTTCTCTTTGAAATACAGTAAAATCGGGGTGAAGAGTTGATATTCCGGGTATAGGATATAGCGCTTAGTATGTTAAATTCACAAAATATTCACCCCATTTTTTAGTTTCTCTTTGAAATACAGTAAAATCGGGGTGAAGAGTTGATATTCCGGGTATAGGACATAGCGCTTAGTATGTTAAATTCACAAAATTCACCCCATTTTTTAGTTTCTCCTTTGAAATACAGTAAAAGCGGGGTGAAGAGTTGATATTCCGGGTAAAGGATATAGCGCTTAGTATGTTAAATTCACAAAATTCACCCCATTTTTTAGTTTCTCTTTGAAATACAGTAAAATCGGGATGAAGAGTTGATATGCCGGGTATAGGACAAAGCGCTTAATATGTTAAATTTACAAAATTCTCCCCATTTCTTAGTTTCTCTTTGAAATACAGTAAAATCGGGGTGAAGAGTTGATATTCCGGGTATAGGATATAGCGCATAGTATGTTAAATTCACAAAATTCACCCCATTTTTTAGTTTCTCTTTGAAATACAGTAAAATCGGAGTGAAGAGTTGATATTCCGGGTATAGGACATAGCGCTTAGTATGTTAAATTCACAAAATTCACCCCATTTTTTAGTTTCTCCTTTGAAATACAGTAAAAGCGGGGTGAAGAGTTGATATTCCGGGTATAGGATATAGCGCTTAGTATGTTAAATTCACAAAATTCACCCCATTTTTTAGTTTCTCTTTGAAATACGGTAAAATCGGGGTGAAGAGTTGATATGCTGGGTATAGGACAAAGCGCTTAATATGTTAAATTTACAAAATTCACCCCATTTCTTAGTTTCCCTTTCAAATACAGTAAAATCGGGGTGAAGAGTTGATATGCCGGGTATAGGACAAAGCGCTTAATATGTTAAATTTACAAAATTCACCCCATTTTTTAGTTTCCCTTTGAAATACAGTAAAATCGGGGTGAAGAGCTGATATGCCGGGTATAGGATATAGCGCCTATTATGTTAAATTTACAAAATTCACCCCGTTTTTCAGTCCCTTGAGGAAACTTGGTTTGAGAAATCGAGAAGTTCGAGAAATTGGCCATTTCAAAGACGAGCGGGTAAGAACATATTTTTTCTTGGTACCAACCTTCAGTATCGATTTGATTGAAAACGAGGCATGTCATCGGGAAGAGCATCCAAAGATTAGTAAATTTACCAAATTTGATGGTTATTGGTTTAAACACAAAGGCATGGTACACTTTTAAAATAAGAGGGCTTAGTATGGATTGGAGGACGCCTGTCCCTCCAATCCATTCTAAGTGTACCATGCCTTTGGGTGTAAACCAATAGCCATCAAATTTGGTGAATTTACTAATTTTTGGATGGTCTTTCAGATGACGTGCCCCATTTTTCAATTCAATCGATATTGAATGTTTGTACCGAAGAGAAAATATGCTCGTGCCCAGTCCTCTGCTCGTTTTTGAAATGGCCAATTGAGGGTAAAATTGCAGTCTTTAAGTAAGGAAAGTAAGTAAGTAAGGCCATTCCAGGCGACAGAACTTTTAATGCATTTCTTTATAAATAGCAGCGAACCGTTGACATGAGAAAACGCGAAGTTGTCTCGGGGGCAGGGGTGACCCTGGGTGGAGGGTCACTCGCGTTGAAGGAAGCGTAACCCTGGGGGCGAGCCAACTCTTTTTTCCTTTAAACTCTTTGTCTCGCCTTCCCGAGACAACTTCTCGCGTGCCGAGTTTAACATAATTGCTAGAATATAGGTTTTCAAGGGCAAATTTAAATTGTTAACATAAAATTTAACTCAGCAAAGGTAACAGTAGCGGAGTAAACGAAAGGAACTTAAAGGAAGGAGAAATGAGGATTTGAATATTTAAACGAGCTCTAAGTAATTATACAAGATCGACTTTGACTCGGTCAGTAAGAACAACTCTTTTCATATAAACGCTCTGTAAAGATGGTTTGGTATGGAGGGTAACCCTCCTACCAGGGACAACTCTCCTTCATATAAACAGGGCCTAACGCTGCTTGCAGTGTCTTATTCACAAATATTAGCTAAAAAATTCTCACTCTTTGACTCGTTATCCGAAAAACGTTGTTAATATTTGTCACACGATTGATTACAGTCATTTTTGCTGCACATTGGACTTCAAAGAAAGACATTATATCCCCATACGAGTGCATTGTTAAGCTAAGCAAGCAGGAATTAAGTCAGCTTGGGAACATGATAAAAATGCATGGAGTGTTCTTAAAAATTCCCAAGTACTTATACAACACAACAATACAGGAGGACAAGTTTTTATTTCTTTTTATATAATGTTAAAGAAATTGTGCGCGCTACAACTTGTGACCAATCATAGAGTACGCAATTTGTCGATGATTTTACGTTGGTACTAAATTATAGTTGCACTGCGTTGTTAGGTATTACTTTCTCAAGCATCATATTTCCCACGATTTCAAGTCGAATTCTGTAAATGTTATCAGTGAACCAAGACAAAAACAGTACATAGGAACATTTGTTTAGTGCTCCAGAAATGAGAATGTTGTCTAGCCTTAGATCATATACAGACTTGTCAAAACTACGGTACTTATTACAAATAGTCAGTAATCCTTGTCCGAATACTTAATATAAATAGTCACACTTCAACATCACTATCATTGTCATCATCTTCATCACTTTCAAACTCTTCGCCTGCATTCCAGAAATCGAGTACATTGACTTCCTGGACATTGTCAACCATGTAATTACTAACTTCTGGAGAAGGTGTGATAAACTTTTTAAACATATTACAAGCACCAAAAAGTCGCACACGCTCATCGTACAGTTGCTTTGTATGGATGGAATAAAGACCTTTGAGATTGTTAGAATCTTTAAATTCATGGTGACTTGCCAACGAAGAGAGTCGACCTTCAATTTCAAGACATTGGTTGAAATATGCAGTGATAGTGTTAGACATTTCAGCGTCTTGATATTTCATCTCCTCCCAACATCGCGAAATCAAGTTCTGCGCATCAACTGCTGACCTTTTAATGCACACAGGAACACCGTCTTCGTTTGGGATGTTGATGGAGTAGATGGCACTGCTGACGTCACCAACATCTTCCCATGAAAGAGGGGAAAATGAAGAGTAATCATGTTGCCGGAGGATGTCTACAGAAGAGTTAAATACTTTTAACTGCTTGCGCAGATTGGTATTCTCTTTGGTGACGCCCTTACACAAACGTTTCGCCTGGGCTTGGCCATCTATAACAGAAACAGTTATATAAAAAAGTTAAGTTATTAATTGATATGTGGGTTGAGTCCGTTCTTGGTTGTCGTCTTTGCTCTAAGGGGTCGCCAGTTTTTCCTGACCCTCAGCTGACACTAACCCTCCATATTCCAATTCAATCTCATGCACGTAAACTTAAAAACGAGCTTTCTTGCTACATGGGTAAACAAAGTCAATTAACATTTTTAAGTTTTACAAAGAAAAGTACACGTCAAGAGCGCGTAGTTCGATCTTTTTATACCTGTGTATTTCTTTTTTAGGGAAAGAAGAAACCATCTTCTTCTACCGGAAACCAGAATTAGATCCAGGGTCTGTTTTGCTCTTACAGCCTCACAAGTCACCAAACTGGACCTGTATTGTGGATCTGACGGAGACCAACGAGTTTGAATTTTGAACTGTTTTTCCATCTTCAGAAGACGTTCATGCAGACTGACGAGAGAACAACAAAATACACAACTTATTAAATACAGATGCATAGTATATTTTAGAAAATAGACTAGCATACAAATCCAGTTATTTAAAACAGTCAACAACATCAACGGATAAATTATGAAAAAGTGTATACCACGCGACCTTGCGACGAGGAGGAGGTAGCTTTTATAACCACAGGGTTCATAAAGGAGCTCAAGTTGCGAAAGGACGGAAGGGAATTGCCAGCAAAATCCTTAAAATACATAAGGTATAGAAGGAAGCATATATAATGGATTGGATTGCAATGAGATGACTGTAACCCACAAACCATTGAATTGTACTGAGATGATCCACAAATTATTGGATTGTAATAAAATGATTGTAATCCACAAATTATTGAATTGTAATGAGATGATTGTAATCCAAAAATTATTTACGTAATAACCATGTGCACCATGCGCAATGGCTTTACTGTAAAAATTCAGACTGAGGGATGAAATGTTTGCTTTATGGACTGAGCCTCTGGGTACGGTCCATAAAGCAAAAATTCAGCCCGAAGTCTGTTAAGTTATTTATTATATGCCTTCACATAGGCAAAGCAAGCGGAATAGAGAGAACATCTACATTGCCTATCATTTACGTCACAATTTCATCAGGGTAATAAACTTATGAAGAAAATCTTCTTCAGAACTCATATTTAAAGAAGAGATACATGTTTTGTTCAATGTTCAATTTTGTCTTTTTTCAACGAAGTTTCTTTCAGGGAAAGTCACTAAGTTCACTAGGTTTTGTGGGGGGAAAAATCTGTGATGCCCATAAGCAATTACCGGGGGATTCTGGACCCCTAATTAACCAATCAGAGTGCACGTACTATCGCAGCCATATAATAATGGATTGTAATGAGATGATTGTAACCCACAAACTATTGCATTGTAAGGAAATAATTGTAATCCACAAATTTTTGGATTGTTATGAGATAATAGCATTCACAAATGATTGAATTTAAATTAGATAATTGTAATCCACAATTTATTGGATGGTGATGAGATGATTGTAACCCATAAATTATTGGATTGTAATGCAAATATTGTAATCCACAAATAATTGGATTGTAATGAGATGAATGTAATCCACATTTTGGTTTTGTCCTCGGGTACCGGTACACAAGAGCCGATACAAAAGACCAAAAAATACATAACAGCTAACCAATGACTCCTAAACAAAGAAAATACAATGGTTATTCCTTTACGCACTGGTACAGCACCGGTGCACGAGGACAACTAGACAGTTCATCAGTTATCTGGAATGCGATGGATCGTTGTGGGACTATATATTAATACACATAAACATGCTAAATGTGACTTTATTTGTAGATTGGAATTTTTATTTTCAGTTCTCGAAATGACAATAATCTTAAATATAAAATAACTGTCATGATATTCATTGTAACTGATGGCGAGATGACTGTTAAGCCGCACATACATGAATCACTATTGTGAATACTGGTACTTGTAGCCCGCAAATAAATGGCTCTCATTAATTTAAATGAGATGCACGATTACTGGTTTATAAAATATTGTGATGGTTTGCTTACCTATCGACCCGTGAATTTTTGAGAGGTAAATAAAGGCTTAGAAATATTTATAACTTATCGATCATATCCGATCATCAAATCATCAGACAAGTGCCTCGAACATTAAACAAAGTAGAATACCTTTTATTATTAGTGATACTCACCTTGAAAATGATCGATAAACCAAATTTACGACCAGAAAGGTGTCGGCTAATTGCACAGATAAAGCGTGTGAGCTTGCAAATAAAGGAAAAATATATCTCTTCTGAATCGATCGATCCGAATTAGCGCGCCAGTGATACGTAGATTACACACGACATTTTAGCTACTCATTCACCCCTCCCCCAGGTCTAGATTTGTCAATAGGTCTATCCCGATTACAATGCATTAATTGACTGGTTACAACGTCATTACAAGTCCAGTAGTTACTGGGTTACAACGTGAGGAACGGGTGGTACATCATGTATGGGTAATTCTTATTGCGGGCGACCAGCGGAGCCCGCAATCCTAATCTCAACATTGGTTACGAACGCATGCGCGGTAGTTATATAGCCTTGCAGTGACTCGAATTTAGCAAAAAAAGTCGTCCTTCCAAATATTTGTCCCTAGGGACACTAAGAACCAATGAAATGAAAGGACGTAATTTAAGCATAGGCGCTTTGACCACGCGAGACAAACACGAAGCAGCAGTAATTTGAGCACAGGCGCTCTGACCGCTAGAAACCAACACCAAGCAGAAGACAATTCTCACCAAAGCATAGCTGTTTCACGTTCCATAGTCAATGATCTTTAATGTAGTTGAAGGGCTCAAATAATATGTAAATTTCGCCTTCTTGAAGCTAAGAATGTCAAGAATCACGTGCAGTTCATGCAGAAGTGGCGGTCCATAAATTGGAATGCACACAACACAATTTTATCACGTGGACGACGTCTATTTCGTCGAAGAATCACGTGCAGCTCATGCATAGCTGGCGCGCCGTCCAATCAAAATCGAGCGTGTGAACTTGTGATCGGAACGTTTCCTGTTCGTGTCTATTGTTGTCGGGTATCGAAATCTTCCGGCCATTGCGAGAGATCTGTGTTCCTCCTTGGCGTTGTTGAACTGTAGAGCGAGAGCTGTGCGTCCATTGACCTAGGCGTTAATCCATTGAAGACTTGAACTGTAGAGCGAGAGCTGTGCGTCCATTGACCTTGGCGTTGATCCATTGAAGACTTGAACTGTAGAGCGATCGAGAGCTGTGCGTCCATTGACCTTGGCGTTGATCCATTGAAGACTTGAACTGTAGAGCGATCGAGAGCTGTGCGTCCATTGACCTTGGCGTTGATCAATTGAAGACTTGAACTGTAGAGCGATCGAGAGCTGTTACAAACGCATGCGCGGCAGTTTGTGTTTTTAACAGATATAATTCAAAACAATATTGATACATTTCTCTTTCCATTACAATTTCAAATAAATCATTGTTCCATTACATCAAATGACCTTGACTCAATGAATATGTCCATTTTATAATCAACAGTGTTTTTATTTACAACGTGAAAAAACAACCATTTTGTCAAACCCAACACAAAATAGAACTGGTGTATAATCAAACTGGTGTTACTGTTTCACAAGGTCAGTAAAACCACTCTTAGGTCCCTTTGTCTCGTTTATGGGAAAACAATCACCCACACTATGTAACCCTTTATTGCGCTGCAAATATAAATGCCCAAAATGGAAAAAGAACACAACGCCACTGTTTTACAATGAAATCGTTAACCTCAGTGAAATAAATCATGCATAGCCCTCGCACGCACTTCCTAACCTGTGGTTATTACTAGTCTACTCAATAATTATTATGTCCTACATACTTTACATACAACCATTAATGTCCATAATAATTCCCCATACATGGCTTGCTTATGCAAATAATGACCTCTGGGGGTTGTGCCTAAGTCTTACCGCCGGAGGAGCATTCGAGACGAGTTTCCGAGTCGGGTTATCGTTTGTAGCCCCCGTTGTAGTTATGTCTTCACACCTAATAACCAAGAGTATGCGGTTTTATTTCTTCCAATCCAAGTGCGTTGTGATTGTGTCTTCTGCGTGTCACTTCCTAACTAGGGTAGAGAAGAAATGCAAAAGTGTAAGGATATCGTAAAGATTTCCTCGCTCAAAGTTTGAGAATTTCATTGGCTATCCTTAAAACCTTTTTGAACGCTTCCGATAGCGGTCACTTGGCGACTGCTACATTCACCCGGAACTCTTTGCGCGAGAAAATCCTAGAACCAATCATAATTTAAACCACGCATACATAATGTTGTCGGTTTAGAGAACAATTCGGGAGGAATTGCTTTTTACATGTGCCGACTTTAAGAATTATGGTAAAATGTACAGCCGCCATCTTTGTTCGTTAAGTGAATTGAATTTATTGGCTGAACACCAAAAGAAATAGTAATATTGATACAAATGGGCTAAGGGTCTAGTATAGGTATGCAATGATTTAGTTTTAACCTTAGTTTAACTCTCTTACTTTTAAAAACGCTGCCAGAATCTTACTCTTTCAACAATCCGAAGCGGGGTGTCACGAAAGCTAAAGCCCGGTCCTCACTAGCGACGCAAGCATAAGCATAAGCATAAGCATAAGCATAAGAAGCTTATGCGCAAGTGAGGACAACCGCGACATAAACATAAGCATATACGCATGCGTAGAGTGTATTTTTGTATTCATTCCCTCTCGCCAGCACACCCATTCAAAATGGCGGACGAAGAGGATTTCACCATCGACTAAATACAGGAATGGCTCCGATCTGTGATTGGATGATAAAAATAGTAAAAGTGAATAACTTATATCTTAACTCCTTGCTCGTGAGTATTGTTAATTGCGTGTCTCGAAGTGGAACAATAAAGTATCAATGTGAAAACGCCGATTTGTCAAACAAGAGAGAACGCAGAGTCTATTTTGTTTAGCGAGGTTGTTCAGCGATATTCCGGCGATGAAAAAAAATCAATTTAGTCAGTTTAGGCGGACGATTAGAGACTGGAGCCATTCCTTTATTTCACCGTTGAC